GAAGTGTCCAAGGCCAGGTTGGACAGGGCTTGGAGCAACCTGGGCTAGTGGAAGGTGTCCCTGCCCATGGCAGGGGGTGGCACTGGATGGGCTTTAAGGTCCCTTCCAACCCAAACCATGCTGTGGTTCTCCTCCTTTGGAGGAGTTTTTCCAGACTCCATCCTGAGATGGAGCAGGGCCGTGGAGGCAGGAGGGGTCCTGTGATCCTTGGAAATGCTGTGGTCCCTGCAATAAGTGGTTCAGCAATAAGTCTGAGCATAAATCTTCCTGATATTTCCTTGCTGCCTTCAGGAAGGACGTGTTTGCCCTCACAACTTTCCTCCTGTATCCCAAGTGTGGGAACAGCAGCTGCAGGAAAACTGTCTGAAGGTGCTTTGGCTTTTAATTTGCAAACTGAAGCTTGAGGTCCATCAAAGGACAGCCCTTGATGGGGGACACTGTTATCCCTTGGAACTCAGGCCGGTGATTGCCCATTCCTGTCCCTTATCCTGCTTTCCCTCCTCCACCTTGAGGTTTGTACTGGCACAGTCATTTCCGGATCCCTGCAACCATAGAAACACGGTGCTCCTGATGACAGGAATTTAATTTTCCGAGGACAATGAGGTGCTGTTAAGGCAGCTGGGACTGGGAGCTCTATTTCTGCTGTTTCATGAGAAATATGTGGTGGAGGGGGGGGGCTGAATTCTGGGGAGGAGGAGCAGAGCAGGAGGGCGGAATTGAAGGATAAAATTGGTTTTGACAAGCTCCTGAAAGCCCTCTGTGGGAAAACATTCAGAGGAACCTTTGCTTCTGACACACCTGAGGCTTGAAGTTCAACCTGGTTTTATTATCCTGTTTGTGTTGTCAAGGAAAGCTGGGCACGAACACTCACCCAGAGGAGTTTTCAAATGAAGACTGTTTGCACATCACGGAATTCACAGGCTAAAATATTCCATTTGCATTGCAGATCTTTTAGACTTCATTTAAGCCAAAGCTCTCTTTTAATTAATGTGGATTTTAACAGTGTAAAAATACCCTTTAAAAGGCACGGGGATAACCTCTTTGCCTGTTTAAAAGTAACCACAACTCACACCAGATATTGGTGTTGTTATTCTCTTTCTGGTGGTGCTTCTTCATGCATCCCAGTTATTTTGTGATATATTTTAAGGCAGGTAGAGCCAAGTCTTCGTGCTGCAGCTGTGAGAGTGAAAAGAACTCTCTAGTTGTTCAAATAACCAAAAAACTTTGTAAATTTGAACAGAAACCTTGATGTGCCTATTCCATGATTATAACCTGCATATCTTTGTTCTCAAATGTGCTGGTGAAAATATTTATGTATTGTGGCATTTCATACGTGGTAGTTTTTAATTCAAAAAACTGTTGCCACAGTCGTTGAAAGCAGTTAAAGAATATGTAAACCTGATTGTCAAGTGTCTATTATTCCCCTTTTTAAAACAGATAATACAGAACTCAAAGCCTTATGATTACTGGGGTTAATTAAGCAAAGTGAATACAAAATAATCCTCTGGGTTCAGGCCTGAAATTCTCACTAATAGCTGTGGATAACAACAGCCTTCTGGTTTTTATGAATTATCCTCCAAGCTTATTAACTGATTCTCTCTTGCAGGTCACAGCCATTTCTTTCCTTGTCCCATTCATCCATCACCAGTGACAAAAAAAAAAAATCTGGCTAAAATTCTGCCCCAAACACCTGCAGATATAAAAGTACAGTGGATTTTTCACCCTCACCTCGAGAGTAGAGAAGTCCCAGAAGGCTCTTAGTGTGCAAACATTGACTGAGTGTCTGAACTTTGAGAAATCCTGACAAATATCTTCGACTGGGGGACCTGCTTACCTTTGAAAGCTTGTTCTTGCTTAAAGTAAGAGATTTTGGCTCTCCCTTATGTGAAATCTCAGAAGAAAACGAGATTTATTAAAAAAAGAAAGGGCAGAAAGATAATAGTACAAAATCTAGTTTATAGCTCGTAACTTCCTAAAATCAAGTGGGAGAAAAATAGGAAATATTTAAATATTTAAGGCACAAAAGCAAATTCAGATCTCCAGATTGAAACTAATTGTGTGTGATCAGAACACTGGTTTTAGTCAGCAAAATGTTTTTTTTTTTTTGTGCTTGGGTTACCTGGATAAATTGCTTGGGAGCAGTGAGGTGGAGGAGGGATGGGAGCAGACTTTTCAAAGACTTGATTTGTTAAAAGACCTGGTTAATCTGTAGTTAAGACTTGAGTTTCTAGAGTAATAGGTAATAAGTCTGAGTGTTTGCATGAGAATTAAGGAAAAACCACAAGGCATAAACCTTAAAATACAGAAATTATAGGAATTGAAAGTGGCACCCCAGTGTGTGCACCCAAAGATTTAAGCCTTGTCCAAATTCAAGTTTGTCACTGCTGAGCTTTGGAATGAGATCAGTTTGGGTTTGCTGCTTTCCTGGGAATTTTATCCAGCTTTTGGCCTTCTCTGTAGATACCAAACTGACTTCTCCCCATGTTACTCCTCAAGATAAATCACACCTTGTATTATCTCTGGTCTAACAGCCCTAACTCCTCTTTTTACCACCTCAAAGCAACAGTTTTTAATGGCAAGCCACCTTAAAATGGACTGAAAAAAACCACAATAAACCAATAACTCTGCATTTCAACCTCTCTGAACGTTTTAGGGAATTTAGCAGCCTCACTGTCTAATAATCAGACTGTTAAAATCACTTTATTTGTGTGAAAAGCTCACAGATTTTTGCCAAGCTTCATGTTGGAGTGAGCAGTGGGTAAAAACTGATTTCTCTCCTTGTTTAATTGCTCACAGTCCTGAGCTCAGGTGCTGCAGTGTCTGGATTCTGTTAAATTTTAAGCTCTCATTTGAAGGACTTTTCTGCCTGTGAACTTTAATGGGTGGATGAGCAGGGAAGGGTTTAAGGTTCATCTTTTATAGCTGCCCCAAAAGGGAACTTTCACGTGGTGTTACCAGCACTGGTGAGAGGTTGGGAATTTTCCTTTGGTGAGTTTTATTCTATTTGCTTGGTCTGAGTTGAAATGGCAAAGTTTGGTGGGAGGATTTTTCTATGAAAAAACAAGTAATTATAGAAGAAGTCCCTGCAGTGCTTTCTTGTATCTAAAGGGTGATCATTTAAATTACCAGGGTTAGTGTGGTTCCCTCTCTGCTCTTTCCAAACCAGTTCACTGGGCCATAATTAAGCTCAGAAGCACAAGAAAAATGTTCCTTTGCTTTTGGGAATATTTTGTTCTTACCCAGCTGTTGATTTATAGCTTTGAAGCCAGTATAGAATTCTTATTCCCTGATTATCCTCTCTGCAGGGAGGCACTTCAGAATGACTAAACACGTGGGTGTGGGAAAATTCAATCTGTCCCCTTTTGCTGGAATGTTTCCCTGTCCAGGTTCTGGTGGCAAAACTCCCCCCTGTGCAGTGGGGAGACGAGCTGAGTGTGCTCTGTGTGCCCACACTGCACTTCTGTGCTTAAAATCCATAGCTGAAAATCAGAAATATTGCAGTTTTGTGGGTTTTTTGGTCCAACTTCAAAAGCTGATTTGTGTATTATCTCTTGAGGATTTTTATACTGATCAATAATTAGTTTTTTCTGAAAGGTTCAGCCTTCTCTCACGACAGTAAGGAACAGGGTTCTGTCTCATGCAGCAGAAATAGTGAGAAGTGGGAGATGTTTCTCAAATACTAAATGGGTCCTCAGGGCAAATTATTGTGTTTTATAGAAAGACCTTGTTCAATAAGATCAATCCCTTGAAGATCTTGAAGCAGCAGCTGGTCACAATCAAGGTGGCTGAGGAAAGTATTAAATGATAATAAGAATCACTGGCTAATTTCTCTTCACAGGAAACCACAAATCTCTTTGACCAAAACTCTGATCTCGGGGTGGGGGGGAACACAAAGTCCCTCCCCTTCTCTCTCTCTCTTTTTTTTTTTTTCTGGAATGAAAAATTAACAAATAGAATTGATGGAAATGTGCCACTGCAGTGTTTTGGTACTGTGTTTCCCCCCAGGATAGATGTTACTGGTAAGAATTGCTGCTCTTCAGAATGAAAATGTAATTTAGGGGTTTTTGTGATACCATATTTGTATTTGTGTGCCTCTGGGCAATGGGATGTGCAGGTCCATGTGCAGTGCAGTAGAAGCTGGGATTGCAAGTGTATTTATACCTGAACTAGTTTTATTTAACAGTGAAACCACAGGATTTTATCACGCTCTGCGTGCTCAGACAAGTGTCCCAAGGCAGGACTGTGCAGTTTGTGCTGATGGTGTTGCCATGACTCCAGAGCCACTGGTAGCCAGGGAAAGCAGATTAAACCCAGCCCAGGAACACCTTTAGTCTTCCCTGGAGGCAGAATCAGCTCTGCCTGCTGCTCAGAAGGAAAGCTCCTGCAGAGAAACGAAGCCACAGCAGCGAGAAGCAGGAACCCTGTTGAATCCCTGGAGCAACTGGAGGCTGCTGGAGGGGAGTGAGGGCAAATCCATGGAATAAATGTGCTGGAAATAAAAAAACCAAAAAAACCTCCCACAAAACACCCATTTAAGGGGGGACAGTGACATCTTGTGGGCTCGGCGTGCAAGTCCCACCAGAAATTCAGCGCTGGCCACTCCGAGTTGGTTTTTAAGTGGGTTTTTTTTTTTTTTGTGCCGCTGCCTGGAACTGGGGGTGGGGGGTAAACAAACACGCAGGGGTTTGGTGTTGGAATGTTCAGGAAGTGCTGTGGGGTGGCACGAGGAAATGCTGCCTAAGCAATGTGCGAGAGCACTTCTGTATATCAGGAAGTTCTCGGGGAAGAACCCACTGACACCCCAAACACCCGCGGCCGGTCGGACATCAGATGTGACACGGCGGCTTCTGCCTTCTCCTCTTGGCACCCCCAGAAATGGAGTATGAAAACCTTGTCTTTTTTTTTTTATTTATTTGCTTGATCTAGGTTTTTTAAACCTGAGTGGTTCCTAGGAACTTAGGCCCTGTCTAAGTGCTGTGTTTCCCTGTCCCCTGTTGCAGCAGCCAGCAGAGCAGCCAGCAGAGCAGCCACGATGACGACTCAGCCCGGTTCCTGAGCCCTTTCCTGCGTGAGGACAGGTGAGTCAGTGCTGCTGAACTGGGGGGGAATGCCTGGAAACACTCACTGAAATTCCACGTGCTGAGCTGGCCAAGCTTCTGATTTATTTTCCTTGTATTTCCCAGACTTGCTTGACAAGGAACGTGATTTATGTTGGTCTTGATGTCTAAAAAAAATGCGTTTTTCATCAACTGAAAAGTAGAGCTTGTGGGACAATGCATCCAACTCAAGTAGCCTGCACCTATAACTCCTGTAATTGCAGCTTGCAATCAGCTTGGACCACTTTGAAAATGCTTTTATTTAGGCCTGGATTTTTGGATTTTGGATTTTTGGGGTCCTCAAACCATGACAGGACTTTAAGCCCAGTCTAGCTGCTGGCTGGGATGTGGTTTATTAGACCCTGCCTGAAAGAACTGTGGAGAAACTGAGTCACAGAGTTAAAAGCTTCTAAGTTATCCCAAAGTGAACCTATGGGTCACCTCTAGGAGGTGGGGGGAAAGCAAACTTGCTGTGTATTTATTGGTGATTGGCAGCTCTGGTCCTTAAAAATACACGTTGAAATTTGGATGTGGTTCTTGTCCTCACCAAGACACTGTTGAGCTTGGCTGTTGTGTTTCACTTCTGGGGTGCTGTGACAGTCCTGAGGTATCCAGAGCTGCTGTGAAGCTCCAGAAGGAACTGAAGTTTCTTGTACTTCAGTTTCTTGTACTTTAATGACTGCTGCAAACTGCAGCATTGGCACAAAAACTGTTGGAAAAGGAGTGCTTATTTTTGTGTGTGATTTATCATCGTTGCTTTGCTTGGAGCCACGTGATTTAGAGTTTTGCTGTCTCTTGTAGTTCAACTTTTGAGCCTGAATCTGCTTGGTTTTCTTCTTCTGGGCATGAGCTGTGAGTCCTGAGTTACTCCTGCCTTTCTCTCCTGGTCCAGCTCCTGCAGGCTCGTTTCCCTGCTGACATCCCTGGGTCCAGTGTTGCTGCTAGACTTTGGTTTCTGGGATTCCCATTGTTTTATCAATGGTTAAGCTGGGTTTTTACTCAGCTGAGCTTGTGGCTGGGGGTTCCAGCGAGCCCACAGGAGGGCAAATGCTGAGATTTGGGAACTGCTTCCCTTGTGCTGGTTGCCAGAGGCGTCTGGGTGTGGCACCTTCCACTCCCACTGCTTTTATCCAAGAAGGATCCCTCTGGATTGTGTTGTTCCAGGTCTGTAGCTCAGCCCACATCAGCTCTCTGAGGTCAAAGTTCTTTGTTCCTAACTGTGGAGCAGGGCAAATTCCTACTGAATTCAGAACCCCTGCTAGGATGTCAAAGGGCAATGGGTTGAGTAAGAACTGAGTAGCAGCTGAGGAATGGACTCACTGGAGAGAACATCCTGACCCCGAGGAGCTCATTAATATCCCAAGAGAGTTGGGCTCAGAATTAGCACTTGTTTGTAGCTCACCTCTTCCTCCATGTGTTCCACTCCAATTATCCACCTCCCTGGAGCCTGGACTAACTAACAGGTGAAGGGGTTTGGAACCAGGAAAAGGAGTGGGTTCTTAGGGCATAGCTGGCCTTCCTCTGTGTGATGTGCTATTACCCCGTTTGAGCTGGAATTTCATATGTTAACAGGATCAGGATTAGGCTCCTTTAATACTCAGGGATTTCTGGGTATCCTTTGTAAGTGCTGCCTGTTCCAGTTGTAGCCTAAATGGAGCCTTTAGATTGGTGCTAAATATGAATATTTAGTATCTCCCTGGCTGGAAGGGACGTGTTTGAGGTGCAGCACACTCAGATCTCAGACCTGTTTATGCAGAACCAGGGTGATGTTGAGCCTACTGACCTCTCATATTTGGGACCTACAACATTCCTGCTGCCTGGATTGAATTACAAACAGCTTTTGTTTTCATGGAGAACACTGATCCTGAAACAAGAATGCATCTGAGGGGTAATAAATTACCTTTTGCTGCTCTGCTTTCTTTCCTCCTTTGCTGATATAATTGCATGAGGCTCCTCTGGTATATTATTCTTTGGATATCAGTGGTTTGGGCTCATGAAACTCAACCAAAAAAAAAAAACCCTCAAACACAATTTGAGGTGTGAAGCTGGACAAGAATTAGTGAGAAGGCTGGCAGAACATTTGAGAGCTTGCTATCTACTGTTGCTGTTAACACAGTTGAAGGCTGTATTTCTGTTAACACAGTTGAAGACTGTATTTCTATTAACACAGTTGAAGGCTGTATTTCTATTAACACAGTTGAAGGCTGTATTTCTGTTAACACAGTTGAAGGCTGTACTTCTTATTAACACAGTTGAAGGTTGTTTCTGAGGCATCTTGAATCTGTCAGTCTCTTAAAAATTGAAGGAGTAGGGTCTTTCTTTCTGCTCCTGTGGTGGTATTTTTGACCACTAACTAAAGGTCTTCCATGCACAGGTTTGGAGCTCCGAGCTTCTGTTACTGTAAGACAGTTCTGTTCACTTGATCAATTAAAAAAAACAAACAACAAACCCAATCAAAGCCTCAACCACCCAGAGTTTCAGCAGCCCTGTGAGCTGTGACAAAAGCTGAGCAGAGGGGAGAGCATAAATCCAACATGTTACATGCTGGAAGGTGCACCCTGTCTTGGCATCCTGCCCCTGATATCCCAGGCAGAAGGAGCCTGTGCTGCACTTGGAGCAGGGAACAAGCTGCAGCAGCCTCGGTGCAGCTGGGAAAGTGCTGAAAGAAGCCACCCCAGCCAAAAGGGAAAAGGGATGCTGAGTTGTTAAGTTGATTCTGAGGTTTAAAAAAAAAAAAAAAAATGAAGAACACACAGCTGAGGGTGGCTGAAATCTGGGGCAGGCACAGCCGAGATCTCAACTAAAGATGTAACCGGGGGTGATGCTGGTGGGGTGAACTCAGGGAAGGATTTCCAAGCACCACAATCCAACCCTCGGGTGTTTTCAGAGGAGACTGAACGTTCTGTCCTGCTCCAGGTGCATTCAGTGGTCTCTGGCAATGTTGTTTTTTGAGGGGTGAGTGCTGCTGTTGTCTCCTGCCTTGGGAAGTGCTGCCATGGTCCAGAACTCCTGCCCTGCTGAGGTGTCCTGTGGCACAGCAGTGAGGCAGGTCTGCCATCCCTGTGTGTCTTCCCTGAGGAAAAAACTTTCCCTCTGCAAAGCCATGTAAGTTGTGCTGTCTCTGTCATGCCTGGTTTATGCTGAGAGGGATCCTACACGGGTTTTACTCTGTCTTGGGGGGTAACTGTGTGCTTTGTGGGTGTTTTTAGAGGCTCACAAGGAAGAATTTAGTGGGACAGGCTGGAAAGAGTCAGGTTTTGTGTGAACTTAGGGCTCAGTTCCTCGCTTTCTGATTGCCTGGGGGAGTTTGGGTGAGTCACTTCATGTTGCTATTTATGAAATATGGAGAATTCCTTTTTTTACCTCACAGGAAAATAGAGGTGGTGAATTAAGCCTGAGTTGCTCAAGTGCTGAAAAATCACAGCTGTGGGAATAGAAAGATAAGCAGAGCTGAGTTACTGAGTGCCCAAATAATGACATTTGATTTAAAGTAATTCCAAGGGTGGGTAAGGTTGGGATGGAGACAGCCACAGATTTGGGTGAGATGTGTGCACACCACAGAGCCAATAATCACTGAAAGGAGACAAGGTTAGGCATGAATTACCTGGAGTTTTCACCCAGATTAACTCCAAGTTTGTGACCCTGCTCCTGTTTGATCCAAGGACTTGTTCTTTGTCATGGTGCTGAGGCATCCATCAGGTTTAAGTTCAATTAATTAGAAGTTAAGCTATTGAACCAGAGGAAAAATCAGTCCTTAGACTCAGTGTAAGGAGGAGACAAACTGGTGAAGACAGGAGGCAAATTACAAGGCTGGAAAGCAACAGGCTGTGGAGAAATCTAGGAGAGAAGTGAGTGGCAGTTTACAAGAGCTCATATAAAAGTGATTTACATGAAAAGATAAATGTAAATCAAACTGATTTACATTTACACTGCTGTAAATCAAAATTATTTACATTTACACTCCTGTAAATCAGAATGATTTACATTAGAGATCATATCTAAGTGGAGGAAATGGGAAGTGCAATTAGTTTTGTGATATCTGTGTTTGATACGTCCTAAATCTTGGCTGCAGCTTAATTAGTTCCTTATTAGTTCAGTACCTTATTCTGTTGCTTCCAGGACTGCAGGGCTTGTTTTTTCTTTGAGAAATCTAATAAAGGTCTCTCCAATAATGGATCAAAATTCACAAGAGAATTCCTTGCCAGGAGATCAGGGAAGAGCTTAAGACAGAGACAGGCTGAAGAAATTCCGTTGGCTGCTTGGATTCCCAGCAAGTTGTGTGAAGTTCAGAAAAGAGGCTGAAGTTTGAAAATGTCAGGATAAATTCCTTGTTATTTGTGTCCTTAGGGCTTGTTTATACTGCATCTTCTGCCTGTGCCCCTTTCCCCTTGGCACAGTGAAGTTGGTGCCAACGTTCTGAGCCCGTATGCCTGCAAGGGGAGGCACAGCAAAGATCCTTGGGGGGAAGGGTCCTAATACCAGTCAAACCCCTCAGGAGGTTTTTCCCCTCACAGATGGATGCCCGATGTATCACTTTTAGGGAATTTTTTAAAAGTGGGGCTGAAGTCCTTGTTCTGGAGAAGATTTGGAGGCTGCTGAGCTCTCAGAGGGTCTGTGAGCAGAACCCTGATGCTCTTGTAATAACGTCAGGGTGAGTTTCCTTTTGGATCCAGCTCCAAACTCCAAGCCAGTTGGACTTTAATAGTTAAACCAGAATGGTACAAGTCTCTTTTGTCACATAGGAAGGATGGTTAATACTTAGAGCTTGTGTCCTTTATTTGCCCCTCTCACCTCCTGGCTGACAAGAACAGCTTAAGCTCAGCTCTGCCCTGCTGGGACTGGGCACTGTCAGAGTGGCTGTGAGTGGAAACACTCTGTTCCTCAGGTGCCAACATGGTTTTTTCTGTTGGAGCTTCTGTCTCTGCTGGGCTGGTGTTGGTTGAGACAAACCCTGCTGTTCCTTGCACATCCCTGAGTGCAGG